AAAACTATACATGTAGGAAAACTTGGCAATTTAGGGCGTGGATGAAGTCTTTCAGGTTGCAAGAGTCTTACCAAATTTGTATCTGAAATTAGCAGGTGCCAATACTCGTCTGACGAACTGCATATGTATACTAATCAACTATCCCTCCCCCCCCCCCCCACCTCCGAAGGTTATTTTGCAGCATCCGCTAATCAACTATCCCTTCCCCCCCCCCACCTCCGAAGGTTATTTCGCAGCATCCGCTTAATATGGTCAGGCGCATAGCCACGAACTGATGTACTGAAAAATCGAGTTGAGTCAAACAGTAAGCTATCGGTCTCCATTGCTCACAGCGATCACATGTGAATGTTAATGGTCCGATGATCCCTTCACAGAATACTGTAATACTTGATCCAACTTTGAAAAAGGCAAACTTAATCGTGGATACTGTCCTCGATGGCCGCTGGCAACTAGTTTTAGGGATGGTTTGGAGAATAAACAACAATTCAAGATTTCCGGGTCAATAGTTGTACCTAATGGCATATTACCGCGGCGACGAATATTTCCGGGACGGATGTTCCCGGGAGCAGGGTGCATGGTGCATCTACGGCGAACTAGTTTTACTCCCATGAACCTAAGTGATTGTTCACTGATTTATTATGCATTGGATGGAGGTGATTTAGTGGCTAGTAGTGCCGCTTTATTACGCACGGTCCGGCAACCGAACCTCGGGCTGGTTCCATATTCTTCTGGGGGGATAAAACTATCTTATACACAGGTTGGCTCGTTCGTGTGTTTTGTTTTACTTTTCGAGCTGGTATGAAAAACTTAGGGATGTGTAAGGCAGGGTCAACCGTGCGTTCGCACTATTCGAACGAGGGGGTCGCATTTGTGGTTGGTTTTGGGAAGGGGGGTCGCATTTAGGGGTTGAGTGGGATTAGTAATTTGTTGAGTGAATGGTGATGATTTAGATAGTTTAGAAATTTGGTGGAGTATCGGCGCGGCACAGGGTGAGGTACGAGGTAGGATAGTTGAAAGGAGAGAAAATTCGCCGTTTCATAGCGCTACTATACCCCTCGAGGGTGGTGGGCAGGATAGGAAGAAGGGTGGTCGTATTGGGGAAGCCTCCCCAGTCTCATGGTGGTAGTGGGGGTTGCATCAAGACCACTTCAAAGGGGAGGGTAGCGAAATTCCTGGAAAAGTATTAACGTCACGGTTGACCCTGGTGTAGCATCTAATTTCCTGCCTCTTTCGGCAAATTAAATATGTCTGGTACTAAGCCAGAAATCTTACTTCAATTCATTTCAATTTTTTTCTTTTACCCATTTCATGTAATTGTTTAAGGTGCGATAAAATAAAATGAAATGGCCTCCGGGATTCATTGCATTGGCCCAATCGCATTCAAAATACTACTAATATTCTGAACGGAAATAGAGTGCGTGGCGTATCCCGCAGAGGATCTAATCGATGGATTTTTTGCCCTTACCAGTACATTCAATTGTTATTCGTCGTAATGAAATCTTACTTCAATTCATTTCAATTTTTTTCTTATACCCATTTCATGTATTGTTTAAGGTGCGATAAAATAAAATGAAACAGCCTCCGGGATTCATTGCATTGGCCCAATCGCATTCAAAATACTACTAATATTCTGAACGGAAATAGAGTGCGTGGCGTATCCCGCAGAGGAATCGATCTAATCGATGTTTTATGTTTCATGGTTATTATTTCATTAACTCCATACGCCGGATGTTCTCATTCTGGCAATGACTTAACAGGGCATAAAACGCCATGCAGAAGTGAAAAAACCAGGCTCGTAAACGCGTTAATAATCAATCACGTGACGTCATAAGTTAAAATGAACAAAATTGAGCTTAAATAGAAAAGTTCTCGTTTTTTTGGAGGTTCATTACAGCAAAACTGGGCTTCATGGGTGGTCTCCGTCGCGTGTTTTGTTTTTCTTGTTTTTCGCATCGTTCAAAAAGCAAGTGTCCCGCAAAATAACCACGGCCCACTTCAATTCGAAGTCAACGCCACTTGAGTGAAGAAATAAAGGCGAAATATACGGATTCACCTGGTCCTTCACTCAATTTGATATCCAAAGGGCGTCCGTGAGGTCGACCGATCAATATCTTGCCAGGCGCCCTCTCACACCCGCCGTTCTCCTCGATGCTGCTATGATCGAATGGTCAGCGCTCGTGCGAGAAGCTTAGGTGTTGTGTTTATTTTAAGATTTAATTAAGCACTATTAGTACTTCTGTGCGTTCTGGTGATTTTCTTTTTTTATAGCGTTTGAACTGCATTTTTAAACAGAATTCCAACATGTGGGTGGTCTCCGGCCACCTGCATTTTGCTTGATTTTCAATTCATTCCATTTTTCAATATTTTAAATGTTCGTGGCTCCCATTGGTTTCTTTATAAGAAGTATTGTAAGCTCCCAGGATCATTGGAATTGAGAAAAAACGCTGCGAAGTTCATTGTTGTTTTCCTCTTTTTTATGGGTTTAGTAATAAATTAAACGCTAGATCCGATCAAAATGGAACTTGTCTTAATTTTGTTTGTATAGATGTGAAAGCAATAAAATGCTTCAGGTAGGAGGTGAAAGCCTTCGAAAAACTGGTTTGGAGGCGAAATTCCTATTTCCCAAGTTCGCTGCAACGTCCCTTGAGCCAACATCGAGGAATACTCGCTCGCAGGATTGTATCTTATTTCGATCATAGAAAAAACGGGCCCTGTCTGCTAAAACCGGTGCCGGTGGTGGATTTTTGAGGATTCCCCGAAAATTCTAAAAATTAGCGGAAATTTCACAGAATTCTGAATAGTTGTGAAGTTTCTTTTTTCAATTTTTTTTGTTTTAACTTAATAG